TGGGATTACAGGCTCCTACCACCAAGCCCAGCTGATTTTTGTATTTTCAGTAGAGACGGGGTTTTACCACGTTGGCCAGGCTGGTCTCGAATTCCTGATCTCAGGTGATCCACCCGCCTTGGCTTCCCAAAGTGCTGGGATTACAGGTATGAGCCACCACTCCCGGCCTTAAATAATTTTTTAAAAGAAGAAGAAGAAGAAAAAAAAAACGAAGACCAGGCATCCCAAATGGTAAACCCAGTGCGTATAGGACATTTCTCGGGAATCCCCCACTGTAGCTTTCTTCCCACTGCTTAATACAGAACTACTTGTACTTTTTAAACATGGAAATATACATTCATTTACTCATTCAACAAACATTTACCAAGTAGTCCCCCAAACAAAACTGAACACATGCAGTTGTCACACTTCATGGGATCTTGGACTTCACATCTTATCTTCCAGGTTTCCCTGGACTTTAGCATGCCAGCTTTAGTCCTTAGTTTCTATATTTCCCTTTACATCCAGGTCTCTGAATTCCCAGATGCTGTCTCTTTAGTAGAGTACCTGCTTTTTCTATTCAAATCCCTCTGAATCAGTGATTGGCAAGTAGTGAGCTCATTGAATAAGCAATCAAGTTTCTTCACTTGCCCAGTTAGTAGAAGCCAATCTGTCTGTTCTGGCATAGTCTCTCTCTGTCTCTCTCTCACAAACACACTGCAACTCAGAAGAGAGGAACTATCCTTTGCAGACAGATGGATGACAGAGATAAATTCCCTATGATAGGGCAAGTCCAGCAAGGGAAGGACACCCAAGTCTTACAGATCCCTGGTCTTTCTTACATATATGAGCTCTTCTGGAAGTAGTTAAGGGGGTCAGGCACCATGGGCTCCTCCCACAAGACCCCAACCTTACCCATAAATCAGTTTCCAATCTAACCCCTCCCTGGGGGTTGAGTTACAAACCTCAGTAACCCCAGGGCAGCCTGCCTGGTAATTCCTATTATTCAGCTGTCAGTTGGTTTTTTAAAAACCGCCCTTTCCAGTGATCCAGTTACTGGAGTTTTAGAGCCCATTTCTTGTCTCAGAGAGAAATCCTATAGCCAGGTGAGACAATGGAGAGGGCTCCTGCCGGCTTTCTTTCGACAGGAGCTGGGTTTTCCCTCTGCTTGAGAGCAGCCTCCCCTTAACTCTTTGTATCCCTCCAAGATTGTCAGGGAAGGCCCTTCTCCCTGTCAGCCTCCGTGCTGATGTCTTTCTCTGGGGACCCTTCTTCCAGAGCCAGCCTCAGTTAGCAGAGGAGAAAACAAATTGAGGCAAGGGGCAGGAAGAGAATGAGAGAAAGGAAATTCTCCAAAACAGAGCTTGCTGTGGCTGCACTGTGTATTTGCTCCGAGCCCAGCCAAAAGCTCAGGGTTCATCTGTTCCCAGGGTGCTGCTATTGGTCAAGGGGCTCAGAGCCCAGATCTGCAGTGCAGCAGGTCCTGATACTGCTGAGTCCATGCTGTGCTGAAAGGGGAGAAAGGGCATAGAGGGAGGGATCTGCTTTGACAGTGATGAGAGGTGGGGGTGAGGGTCCTGACCTCCCTGACCCCTTTATCCCTGACAGTCCTTTTCTGGTCCCTCTAGCTCAGAAGGCTGGGCCCCTTGCTGCTTGACCTTATAGACTGAGAGATCAGGAGGTAAAGCCACAGGTGTCTTTCAGAACCAGCCTGAGGGAGTAGGCTGTGAAGACCTGGGAGAGAGGTCTTAAATATCACTAGTGGTGTGACCGTCCCCATATCTTGCAAACTGCCAGACCCACTGAGATACTCCCTCCTGCTCCTCAGCCCCATTCTGTCACAATGATGATGTTCTGAAACCTTTATAGGACCACAGGCCATTTTATGAAACTGTTGTAAGTTATGGAGCCACCCCCCCCACAGAAATGTTTATGTACCCCCAAACACAGTTTAGCCAGTTTCAGGGGTTCATAGACCCTAAAGCTCAGGACCCTGATGAGCCTGGTGAGTACATGGATTCCATGTCAGTATCCCATTCTTGGCTAGGTGCAGTGGCTCATGCCTATAATCATAGCACTTTAGGAGGACGAGGTAGGAAGAGTGCTTGAGGCCAGGAGTTCAAGACCAGCCTGGGTAACATAGTGAGACGCTGTCTCTACAAAAATAAAAATTAAAAATCTTAGCTGGGTGTGGTGGTGCACACCTGCAGTCCCAGATACTTGGGAGGCTGAGGTGGGAGGATCACTTGAGCCTGGGAGATTGAGACTGCAGAAAGCTGTGATTGCACCACCGTACTGCAGGGCAACAGAGCAAGACCCTGTCTCAAAACAAACAAAAAGAATGCATTCTCTCAGCTTCTTTGCCTTGTGTAGCCAATTTTACCATGCAGGGCTGTGATGAAGCATACAGAGATTTAGCATCTCAGGTAGGTCAGGAGAGCTACAATGGCCCCACCCCTCAGGGCCTATGCTGCCCCAGAGGGCAGATTCAGAGCTGCTTTGTCCCTCAGTTCCACTCTTGACCCTAAGGAATGCCCAGGGGCACGAGCCTGAGACACTGGCCTGATAGGAAAACAAATGAGAAAAGAAACATGGAGGGAAGGAGAGGAAGGAAATTCCTACATTGGAAACCACGGAGGACTCCCAGTGCCTTTCACAGAGGCTGGGTTTGGTTTCCTCATCTCCCTACATGTAGCAGGAGTGCAAGGTCACTCTGACTAGCTCAGACACACCCTTTTGGCCAAGCCTCCAGGTAAAATAATATACCTCCTTTTGACTTAGCGTCTTTTGCTGGACATCTGTCAATTTCTGGGGGATGGGGGGAGTACGTTACTGGCCAACCTTGACTCTCCCCTCTTCAGCATTTTTCTATTCTAGCAACCACAGCCTTCACTATGGCTGGTTCATTCTCTTTTGAGGGAGCTAGGGAAAGAATGGATGAGAAAAAGTACAAGGAGACTTCAAGCTCTATTGGGCTGAAGGTCTCAGCTCCACTGAACTTAAATCTGAGTTTACAACCCAGAGAGCAGCTTTGTGGTTAAAGCACCACTGAGCTCTGCTGCCCCTGGTGGGTCAGAGTTGCTGCAGGCTGGCTCCCTCTCGCTGCTTTCTGGACTCATCATTTTTTCTTTCCTAAAATTCAAGATTGGTCAAGTCACTCATCTCCAAAAAAATCTTTGGCACCTCCCCTTTATAAAATACAGATTCTTCAGTCTGGCATTCCAGGAACACCTCTGTAATCTGACCTGAACCCACCTGCCTGCTTCACTTGCCATTTACCCTTCCTAAATCTCAGTGTGCACCCAATGATCCAGTCACCAAGCCTCCCTCTGCTCCCTGCACAGGTAAGCCCTCCAGCTCAGCACTTTAGTCTGCTACCCTTAGGCCTGCGATTTTTTTTTTTTTTTTTTTTTTTTATGAAGACTCTGTCGGCCAGGGTGGAGTGCCGTGGAGCCATCTTGGCCCACTGCAACCTTCGTCTCCCGGGTTCAAGCAGTTCTCCTGCCTCAGCCTCCCAAGTAGCTGGGGTTACAGGCATGCACCACCAAGCCTGGCTAATTTTTGTATTTTTAGTAGAGACAGGGTTTTGCTGTGTTGGCTAGGCTGGTCTCCAACTGCTGAGTTCAAGTGATCAGCCCGCCCCAGCCTCTCAAAGTGCTGGGATTACAGGCGTGAGCCATTCGCATCTGGTTTTCCTTATTGAAAAATATTTCCCTAGCCGGGCGCGGTGGCTCAAGCCTGTAATCCCAGCACTTTGGGAGGCCGAGGCGGGTGGATCACGAGGTCAAGAGATCGAGACCATCCTGGTCAACACGGTGAAACCCCGTCTCTACTAAAACTACAAAAAATTAGCTGGGCATGGTGGCACGTGCCTGTAATCCCAGCTACTCAGGAGGTTGAGGCAGGAGAATTGCCTGAACCCAGGAGGCGGAGGTTGCGGTGAGCCGAGATCGCGCCATTGCACTCCAGCCTGGGTAACAAGAGCGAAACTCTGTCTCAAAAAAAAAAAAAAAAAAAAAAAAAAAAAAAAAAACTCTGTCAAAAAAAAAAAAAAAAAAAAAAAAAAGAAAAATATTTCCCATTCAATTTAAAAGCCATCTTCCTGAAGCCTTCCCCAGCCTTTATATTCTGAATTTTTCTGCATTCCTCAAGAGTCATTATCCTTGGAATGAACACAATCCCTATGGCTTTTCACTATTTTCAGGGCTACCTCTCCTAGAAGACTGTAAGCTCCTTGAGGACAGACTCCAGGTTTCTCGCACTTAGCCCAGTATCTGGCACAGAGTAGGTGCTCAGTAAATGTTTGTGAAGTAGCCCATAGACTCCCTTGTGCGGTCTGCAGGACACGCAGCTCTTCTGGGAGCACTAGCATAGTCTCTAAATGCTGCCATAGCGAGATATGTATCAACCGCTCAAGCAGCCCCTGCCTTCTTTGGCGCTCCTCTTCTCATCCAGATGTTCATTTTGCCAGTGCCCACACCCAGGCAAGAAGACGACCTGAGGGCTCCTCTGGATGTGTTTGTTTCAAACACAGCTTCAGCTTTGGGGCTGCAGTTTTCTTCAGACCTGCTCGGCAGGCTGGAGGGAGCTTTCCCCTGAGGCTGGGATCCCATAGGGACCCGCACCCTGCACCCTGCCCCCACTGGACGCACCAGCCTCATAAAAAAAACTCCCTGTCTCCTTCCCCCCACCTTTTCTGATCGCGCAGCAATTATTCTGTCCATTCCCGTGAAAAAGAAGACAAAAGTTACTTTGGCGCCCCCTCTCCCACACCTGATAGGATTCAGGGACTCTCTGGCACTTCCAGAGCCTGTGTTAGGGACAGAATCCGTGCGGGAGACGGCGCTCCAACTGCGCTTCTGGTGAGGATCGGAATTTTTGCTCGGCCCCTTGCAATGTTTCCATGGGAAGGTTCGTACATTCGTGACCGTCCCTGGCAGCTGCCCAGCCCGGGACTTGGCGCTTCACTCGCCATTGGCCAGTCCTCGGCGTGACGCGCCGGGGGGCGGGGCCTCATCAGCTGTTTGCGGGATGCCCCGAGCGGGCGTATTTTGGAAACAATACCGCACGGTGCGGAGTGGCCTCCTCCCGCCCAGGCCCACGGCCGCCGCCGCCGCTGCTGCCGCCCTTGCCTGCGCCTCCCGCCACCCGCCGCAGCCCGGTGAGCGCCCGGGTGGCGGCCGGGGGCCGGGCGGAGTTGGATCGCAGCTCCTTGGGGAAGTGGGGAGCGGAGTCGCGCTGCGCATAGGGGCCTTGGAAGGGTTTGGGCTGCCGACGTCTGGGGTGACCATGAAGAACTGGGGCGCTGGGGTGAGGGAACGAGGTGCAGAACCCATAGCTGGGTGTACCGCTCCAAGAGGGAACTTGGGGGTAGCATTTGGGACTCGAAGGAGTTGGGTCCAGGTGGGCGGGGGAACCTGGGTGCACTGCTAGGCAGACCTGGGTGCCCGAGAGCGGCCCAGCCTCTGGGTCTGACTTTGGGGTAGGACAGGAGTTGTGGGGCATCTTGCCTCCCTGCGGAGTCTGAAGGCTCCTCTCCTTAACAGCTGGGCTTTTTCCCTCCTTCCCAATCGAGTCTGGGCATCAAGCCCCCGAGTGCTCGTCACGCTGGACCCTGGCGCGGAGCCCTGGCATCACGACTCGGAGGCCGAGACCCTCTCCTGGAGTCACCCAGGTCTGGGGTGTGTGTGTGTGTGTGTGTGTGGAGTCACCCAGGTCTGGGGTGGGTGTGTGCGTGTGTGTTCCTAGCCACTGTCGAAGTTCAGGGTGTCTGGCTACTGCATTCTCCTAAGAGGAGGAGGAGTCTAAGTTCAGCATCCCTCTTCGAGCCCTTAGGGGCTGGGATGGCTGCAGCAGGGCTTTAGTTCCTCTGCTAGGAATAAAGCATTCCCTGGCACTGTTCTCAGGAAGTGCCCTCCTCCCACCACTCTGGATATCACCTCTTAAGCTCGGGAGAAAAGGAAGGAAAGGATTCTTCACCTTTTCTTAGTTTACCCTTGACATTGCCAAGCACCCCTCCAGAGGCGTCCATCTACCTGCAGGCAAGCTACCTGCAGTTTGTGGAGAGTGAGGGGGTCCCTGGGGCTTGCAGAGCTACACCTTCTGGCTGCACTTACCCCACTGTCCAGTCCTTGCAAGCGTTGAACTTTGAGGCTTTGCTGGGAGGGGGAGGGGAAGGTGATAGGCTTCAAAGGAAAAACCTAGACAATGACTTGTGCTTGCGATTGGCTTTGAGGGCCCCTTCTAAGAAGAGATTGGAGGGCTGGAGGGGAGCCCCTGCCAGGTGACTGGCAGGACAGCACTTGGTCCTTTCATCAGGAAATGCTGTTTCCTGTTGCTAATAAGCTGGAGTGCACCCCCCCATACACACACACACACACACACACACACACACACACACACACACACACACACCCCACTTGGGAAACACGGTCCAAAGAACACCACATGGTTGCTTGCCATGCTAGCAGTCATATCCTCACTCTTCAGGGAAGAGGGTAGAGACAGGACCATAGACAGCTCAGGGACAGGGATGGGATGGGATGGGATGAAGCGAGGCCCCATGCAAGCATCTCACAGAGAGCTTGCATTTGGCAAAGGCAGGGTTCTGAATTGAACTGAAATTATTTTAGCAACTTCACCAACTCACAGACCATTTGGCTTGTTCTTCAAAGGCAAGAGACTGGGGGACAGAACCCCCAGGAATCTCTAATTGAGTCTGACAAAGATGAAATTCATCTGTTTTTATCCTTAGCTCTTCAGGTGGTTGCTGCTTCTGACTGCTGCAGGGGTCTTAAGGGGTTCCTGGTGTGTGCAGGGAGCTGGGTTGGAAGCTTAAGATGCTGGGTGGCTCCAAGCTCAGACTTCCAAGAGCCATCAGGTGGAGTAAGAGGAACTTCTTTATTACCAAGAAACTCTCATCAATAACCTGAGTAGTAGAGGCAGTGAGATCACAGGGAGAGGGGTGAATTTCACTTCCTTCTGTCAGACCAATTACACCAATCTCAGGTCTCAGGTTCTGAGCTGGCAGGAGTGGGAGGCTGTGGAAGCAAGGATTTGAAGTCTTGGAGACTAGTGAGGAGACTTAGTTGGGAGAGGCTGGACCTACCTTCCAGGCCAACCTTTGGTGGGCAAACAGCTCAACTCTGCTCAAAGAGAGCCCAGACGGCAGCTGCGATGACTAACTTGGGTCTTTATCCCTTCTCTCAGGACACACTCTTACCACACTGCAGAGCCTGTTTATTGTGTTGTGCAAGCAAGGGGTGGAGATTAGAGTAGATGGGCAGCAGGGCGGGGCTTAGAGGTTTGGAGGGAACCTGGCTGCCCTAGGACTGCAGGCTTTTGTTTCTGCTGCTGAGTCTGGAGCTAAGCTCAGACTGAGATAAGAGTTTCCTTGGGGCAATGACTTTGTGTTTGTTTGTGTTTGTGTGTGTTGTGAGCACTGTATATATAGCCAGTCACAGCACCCTTGACAGCAACTTACAGAGGCTAGTCTTGTTTATATTTTCCCAGGTACCCTGCATGCATATAGCTGCTGATTCTACTCATGTTATTGCTCACAACCCTCAGAGTCAAACTTTGTGACTGGCCTAGGTCAGAAAACAGGTTCAGGAAAAAGGGTGGTTCCAGGCGGGCCCAGGGAAGAGCTGTGGAGGGCCCCTGAACATTGAGGGAGTCCAGATTTTGGAAGTGGGTGTCACCCTTGGCAGTGCTTTATTACCAGGGTTGTATGTCATCAGTATGTGGCCCAGTCCCCTCAAATAAAAACGGGGAACAGGGAAGAAAGAAGGGAAGTGGAGTCCTTCACCATGTGGCCCTGGTGGGGCAGCATCCCAGATGCCTGTGTTGCCCTCTTACAGGGGAGATGGAGCCATCTCAGTGTGTGGAGGAGCTGGAGGATGATGTGTTCCAGCCAGAGGATGGGGAGCCAGGGACCCAACCCGGGAGCTTGCTCTCTGCTGACCTGTTTGCCCAGAGCCTACTGGACTGTCCCCTCAGCCGGCTTCAGCTCTTCCCTCTCACCCACTGCTGTGGCCCTGGCCTTCGACCCACCAGCCAGGAAGACAAGGCTACCCAGACCCTCAGCCCAGCCTCCCCCAGCCAAGGTGTCATGCTGCCTTGTGGGGTGACTGAGGAACCCCAGCGACTCTTTTATGGTGAGTGCTGTCAGCCTCAAGACTCCTTCCATAGAAATTGGGGGAAAAGAAGGGACCTTCCCTCTCCAAAGCTGCCCTTTGCTGTTTCCTTCCCCCAAAGTGGTCAGTGGGGCTGTCGATTCCTTGACTTCCACCTGCTGCCTCTCGGCTTGTTATTGTTCCTCACCTGTGCGCCTCAGGACCCCAAAGGGCAAACTGCCCTGCCCTTCTTTCTGCTCCATAGTCCCCTCCTGGAGGGATCCTTGAGTCCATGGTATCTCCGTTTACATCCTGTGCCCCTTGTGTGGCCCGGCCTTTAGTGCCCCAGCAGTGATTTGCCTTCTGTAAAGTGGCTCCTGTTGCTCTGGAGAAGGCTGGGGGATCTGTGACTGGCTGTTGACAATGAAGGGAAAAACCCAGCTGGTTCTGGCAGGGAGGGTTACCGAAGGCAGAAGGTGGCTCCCAGTTGTCACTTGGGACTTTCTGTGCGTGGAAGGGGAACTGGAGAAAGAGTTTGGGGCTGCCTGGGCCCAGTGCCAAGAGAGGGGATGCTTCCAAGGCTAAATCAGACAAGACTTCTTCATTTGTGGGCTTAAATAGTTTGTTTTATGAGAAATAGGCCCTCCTCTGGCAAAACGGCATGATCAGACAGTGTTTTCTTCTAGTGGCACTGCAGCTTACGGAGGGAGGGTAAAGGCTAGGAGGGTGGCTTGCTGTGTCTGATGAGCAGATTGCGGAGACACTGCATTTACTCTCAGAGGGAACTGCCTCTTAGGGCAGCTCTGGCAAAGCAGTTCTGGCGGGAGTAAGAGAAGCTGGATGAGGCGGGCAGGCGGGGAAGAGGGAAAGGAGCGAGGAGGCCGGCGGACTGGCGCCCCTAGCGGTGGCTCTAACGCGTGCACTCGGTAAGTGTGGAGCGCTCGTCTAGAGGTCTTGCCTGGGGCTGTCTCCAGAGAGGAACTTGGCAGCTCTGTGCGTCTCAGGAGTTTTCTCTCCCTCGTTTTTATGCTGCTGCCCAGGAGCTTCGGGAGACCAGCATTCCTCTACTGCACTAAAAACGTGAAGACACTTTTTGGTTTTTTTTCTGCCCTTTACTTTGCTCAACTCAGAAACTCTGGAGAGCTACCTCCAGTGCTTTTGCAGAGAAGAACTTCAACCTGTTACTACATGAATAATCAACTGTGGTCAAGTAAGCGTGATACATAAGGATGGAAGGTTGGCATGTTTGCCTGCACACATTACCACCCTCCCCTTTGTCACGGCACTGTCAGTGAATGGAGAACTGGAGGGAAGGCTTGGGCCACTCTCCCTGTTCTCCGTTCTGTTCTGCAACCTTTATGCACTTGGGCAGCAGCCTGTCCAAGCTTGGCAGAGTGCCCTGATACAGGCAGGCTGGTTCCTATCCATTCTCATAGGAGGATTTACTCTCAGCCTCAATCTTGGCCAGGTCGGGCAGGTGCGGGGAGGCTGGGGCAGTTGTGGAGAATGCTGAGATGTGGCTCCTCTATCTTTGCAGGCAATGCTGGCTACCGGCTTCCTCTCCCTGCCAGTTTCCCGGCAGTCTTGCCCCTTGGGGAACAGCCCCCCGAAGGGCAGTGGCAACATCGAGCAGAGGTACAGATTGCCCGAAAGCTTCAGTGCATTGCAGACCAGTTCCACCAGCTTCATGTGCAGCAAGTAGGCACGGGGGTTTAGGGGAGGAGGGTTGAGTCTGTGGGGCTTGGGGGCCAGGGCCTGCCTCTTTCCTCTGGTCAGCAACTCTGTCTCTACCAGACCGCAAGAATGTGGTCCCAGAGTTTTGGTTATTGCGGTTCCCATGGGCAGGACAGGCCCAACTGGATGAGCATCTTGCCCTCATCTCAGAGCTCTGCATTGGTTAACTGCCCACTCTCAACTCATGTTCCATAAGGGCCGTCTCGGGAGATGCTATAATCCCTCCCCTGGAATAGGGTGGTTTTCTGCAGCCCTGCTTAATAGCCTGTCTCTTCTTATGGTGGTGGCCGGGGGACTGCCCCTCACAGACCTAAGAGGAAGATTTTCAGGGTGCTGCAGTGACACTGGGCAGTTGGGGGGTGCCTGGCTAAGGTACAGTGGGAAACGGGTAACCAGGCCAAGGGATGGGGCCTGAATGGGGGAAAGTGGTAGAACCGGTTGAAACCTGACACTTTCCAGCTGGGGAGGCCACTCCTCACTGTGTCTGTCTGGGAACCAGGGTCTGGGACTCGGGAGAGTGTACCTCGGAGAGGCTCCCCAGACCGGCGGCCAGCCGGGCGCTTGGCCGGGTGCTTGGCCGGCAGCCTGGCACCAGCCCCGCCAGGGCGGAGCATCGCGTGTCAGCCGAGCATGTGGCAGAGTCCATCAACAAAGGCGGCGGCTGGCAGGCTCGTGCTAGAGGAGCCCTCTGTGCCACGGACTGGAGGCTGCTCTGTTCCAGCAGCCGCTGTCTGGGCTGGGCCCCCAGGCACTTAACCCTTCCTCTCCAGGCTGGCTTTCTGGATGGCTGCCAAGGCAGGGAGAGGAGCCTGAGGCTGCATCCATGCTGGTACAGCCACCGCGAAAGCACAGGCATGCCACTTGGAAGTGAACACATTCTGTACTTCTGGGACTGTGTCCCTGGCCCCGCTGGCTCTGTATGTGTATATGTGTGTCTGTCAGGAAATCAAGGGAATAAATAGCTTGACCATGACTGGGCAGACTCCGAGGTTAGATGGGTAACTTCAGGGGGTCGGAGGAGAGCTATTGGTAATAGGTAGGTTGACTTAAGGGTCAAACCATTGCCAGTGGCAGGGGAAGAGGAATTGACCTTGGATTTCCTAAGAACAGGCCATTGCCGGTTAGATACGGTTAGTGCCCTCTGCCAAGGAATTCTGAGGACAGTTTGGGGCTAGACCTGGTCCTGGTAAGTCCTCCTAGTCTCTTAGTGATCAGGAAGGGAGGGTGGCCCTATGTTTAGATAATAGACTTAAGCTCCAGTTCTTACTCCCTCCTTTGATTATTTGGTGGAAACTTGGCTTAGAGTTTCCCCTTCAGTCCATGTGTGGACTCACTCTGATTCTTGTTTTCAGTTTCTTGGCCTCCTTCCTGTCCATTCACTCCATCCTGGTTGTACAGGCCTATGGCTGAGCGCAGCTCACAGCTTCCAGTCCCGGTACTGGAGAGGATTGGAGGACACAGTGACTGTGACTCTCCTAGACTCATCTAGAGGCCTATGTGGAAGGCAGCTTGCTTCATTTGAAGTTATCTGATCTCTCTCACCAGTTATTCCCCAGAACCTTCCCCTAGCCACTGGTGAGCCCCTACAGGATTGGGAATAGGCTGGGAGCCCTCCCTGGCACAGGACTAGGATACAGTCTTCCTGGGGACCCTCCTAACTTGGTCCTGAACAGAAGGAGGAGGAGGCCCTTATCCCAAGATCTGGCCCTGCATTTTTTTTTTTTTTTTTTTTTTTTTTTTTGAGGCAGAGTTTTGCTCTTTCGCCCAGGCTGGAGTGAAGTGCCATGATCTTGGTGCATTGCAACCCCTGCCTTCCAGTTCAAGTGATTCTTCTGCCTCGGCCTCCTGAATAGCTGGGATTATAGGTGTCCACCACCACACCCAGCAAATTTTTGTATTTTTAGTGCAGACTGGTTCACCATGTCGGCCAGGCTGGTCTCAAACTCCTGACCTCAGGTGATCCACTCACCTCAGCCTCCCAAAGTGCTGGGACTACAGGCGTAAGCCACTGCGCCTGGCTTGGCCCTGCTTTTGGCTGGTTGCCATCAGTTCTCCCAGTTCAGACCTGCCTCTTTGATGGCACAGGTCAGTTTTAGACAAGGTGCTATACTTTTAGCCAGAGCCACGCAAGCTTGGGAGAAGGAAAACTGGAAGAGAGCTTCATGAGAGTCTCCTCTGTCTTGCACCTGACTCCGCATTGGCTCCCAAGTTCCCTGCACCCCTCCCCTCCTGCCAGTTACCGACTACTTCACTTCTTACTTGCAAGAGCAGGAGGCTGACCAGTGAGCCCTTTCTAGCACAAAGAGCTGATTTTCCCAAATTTTCCAGTATGAAGAGCCAGGCTTTTTGTCTCCTCCTTGGACAATTCTCCCCAGAGTCTTCTTGCTTTTAACCCCTTCCTCCCCACTGACCCTGCTTATAGATCTTCACCGAAACTTATCCTAAAGGAAGGGCTAGGGTGATGGCTTCAGGCAGGTGGAGCACTAGTACGCCCGGAATGTTTCAGCAGCTGGTTTTAAGAAGTGAGTCATTTTCTGAACTTGATTCTTATATAAACTACAGTCTAATAGTTCAGATCTAGAAAGTACTGTTGTCACTCCTCCATTCTTATCCTTTGTCTTCTTTCCCTATTCCCTTCCCTCATTTTTGCAGGCCGAGAAACTGAGGCAGTGGGAAGGAGGTTGTTTAGGATTTAGCTTCTAGGCTTTCAGTTCAGAGTCAGAAAGCTTAGATTTGAAGAATACCAGCTCTGCCACCTACTCACTTTCGGGAAGTCACTTGACTTCACTGAGCCTATTTCCTCTTCTATGAATTAGCGCTAATACCACAGGTGATAATTAAGTGAGAAAATACCTATGAGGGTTCAGGGCACGGAGTAGATGTTCTTTAATGCCTGTTTCCTTCTGTGTGGTTATGATGCTGATCACCCCCTACGCTTGTTCTCGTTGGTTCACAATTCATTTCCTACTCCACCTGGCAGGCGGCTCTCTGAGCAAAGCTTCCTCCCCGAACTTCCCTCCTCCTGCCTGCTCGAGAGGAATCAGTGTCCAGACTGTTCATTTGTGGACCTTGGCTTCATTGATTTCTCCTTGGGGAATGATAGCCATTCTCCATCATTGTGGGCTGGATTTAGAGAGCCAAGAGAGGCAACCCAAGACGCAGGACAGGACTTGAGGAGGCCTGACTACCTCCTTTCCCCTACATTTGGGATAGTGTCCTGGGGCCAGACAGTGGCCACTGGTCCATAGTCCTGTGGAGAGTGTGAGTTCCCCCTCGTTGTCCCTGGTTACGGGCCCGAGTTATTCTTTTTTTGCACCAGGGTGACCATCTCCCTTGGAGGTATGGTGCTGAGGGGGGCGCGTGATGATGGGGTAGAATGGAATTATGGCCAAGCAACCTGGCTCCTGACGCAACAGGTTCCAAGTTTACCTGGGTGTCATTTTATGTAGGCCATAGTGCTTTCAGCACATTTCCTGAGGGCATTGCTAGGTGGAGGACTAGCCTGGTTACCCAAGTGATCAGTTCAGGGTGGCTCTTCCAGACCCAGAGGCAAAAAACCAGAGGCAGAAGATCAGAGTCAGTAGGGTGCTCCACCTCAGCTCTTGGTGTCTCCAAAGCAGCAAGAGAGTTGGAGGCAGAGTGAGCGGAGGTAAAAACCTTTCCGAACCTCACCACACATCCCACCTTCCTTTGGCTGGGTCAGGAGTGAAGGTTCCCCTGTTTGTCCTCTGTGAGCTGAGGAACTGTGGCAGGGACCCGCATTGGTCTGCTGATAGTCACTTGTCTTGAGGGTGGTGCTGTGGTGCCTCCGTGTCCAGCTTCTGTGTGGAAGAACGTGGTACAGATGTGCTTCCTCCCTGAGCCCCTAGGCTGCCCTGGCTGGAAGGTCAGAGCCCCAGCTTTCCTGTCCTTGTGCTATGGCTTCCTCCAACATGAGCCTAAGGAGGGGTGGGAAGTGGTGTCCCCTCCTCTTGGGAGAGTCTCTGTCTCAATGGCCCATCATGAGATTTGTGGGGGTATTTCTAGGCAATGTTAAGAATCCTCAAAAACAGTAGCTACTTTAGACAGTCGAATGAGTAAAGCTACTGGAGGGTTGGAATTCTTCATGTTGGAAATGGCTTTTCACTTGGACCGGGAGTGGCTCCATTCAGAAAAGCCGGGTTTGGAAATTCTCTGAATAGTAATTAGACTTTTTGGAAAATGAAATCTGAGAAAACTTTCAGCCACTCTGTTGAAACATCTTTAACTATAATATCACAAAAAGGATCCTAGACCTGTAGGCAGATGTGTGGTAAAATCCCGGCTCTTCAGGATTTTGCTTGGACCTGACTTTGTAGTTTGGGGAGCTCTTTTGGAAGTTGTGCTCAAGTTGGTGTTTGCGTGGTTTATTAACTAGCAGCTTCTCTGCCTAGCAGACTGGCTCCTTTGTTCAGGGAGCTCCTGTCTGCTTCCTGACACTTTGGTATTCTCTCGTTATTGGTGAGAGGTTTTCTGGAACTCAAACTGGCTAACTAGGTTGCTCAGGGTCTAGATGGGGCAGCCCTGGGCGGGGGCTCCAGAGGTTTGCTATAGAGTGAGAAGGGTCCCTAGGAAGCCAGCCTCTGTCCCAGGAGTGGGAGGCCCACCTAGGACAGTGCCAGGGGAAGAGTGAAGCTGGGGGAGGGACTGCGGAGAGCCAGAGTTCGTGAGAGCCAGCGCCGGGGCTGGGGGCCCTGTGTTTGCTCTGTGGCTGGCTCTGTTTATATCGCTCGCTATATTTAGCTTCTGAGTCATCAGCGTGGCAGACTAGAGGCTGAGTTCCCCACACACTCTGCACCTGACTGCTCTCTCTTCCAGGAGAAGGGCCTTGTAGTTCCGGAGAGTTCATTCCCTCCCCACCAAGGCAGGCCATAGGATGGAAATGGGCTTTTTTTTTTTTTTTTTTTTTGAAAGGGGGTGATGGGAGGAGGGGACTAAGGGAGACA